TAATCCACACAGAGTCACACAGGAGCTTGAAAGGAAGCTGAAGTCTGGAATTCTTTGCATAATTTTCTAGGTTTTTCTACCTTATGCATAATGTTTTTTTACTTCTGAGTTACTAAAAACAAAAGTATAAAAAGAGGAACAAAATCTCTTTATAGGCTCAGTCACCCAAATAACTCTTCTAATGGAAGCTTATAGAGCAGCAGTTAACTAAAATTGGTTGATGAAAACAAACAGAAGCATGTGACACCAACAAAATCAGAGGTTCCTGTTGTGTTCTGTAATTCTGAATTTGGTAAAATCCCAAGATTCAGATAATAAACTGAGAGGAGACCACATTGACTAACTCTGTGCCATACTTTTGCTCTTGAGGATATTTTTCTCAAGACTTTTTCTTAACGAATATGTATTTTCATGTCCCTTGTGGAGTACAACTATTCCTTGAGCCCTTAGAGCCTCCATAAACTGAAACCTCTGGCTGTCCTGTTCATTTCATCATTCATCATTCATCTACAGAGAGCTCTCTTTCTTATTTTCACTTTAAAAATTTTTACTCCACATTTTAATTTAAAACTTTACTGGAAATTTCAACAACTATTTATTGAGTCCCTATTCTGAAATAGTCAGTGTGTTAACTGTTTTATATACATTGTCTTCTTTGATTTATACAACAGTATCAAATTAGTTTTAGTATACCCATCTATGAGATAAGGAAACTGTGGCCCAGAGGGACCTCACTGATATCATACAACAGGGCTGCTGAGGCACACTGATTCACCCCATGCCAGTCTGATTCAAATAGCAATGCTTCCCCACTACAACACAATCAATTCTGTACTTACAAAGTACATTAGTATCCTGTACCCTTAGGAAGAGTCTCGTATGTTCCAAACGAAGATAGTCTGTAAAGTTTTGCCCCTAAGTCCAGTTCAAACAAAAGAGAAAGAAAAACAAATTAATATTTATAAAGTAAAATCTATAGCTGTAGACTTGCTACCTATCAATAGGTACCACTATAATTTATATCATTTTCTCATTGTTAAAATCCACCACCTCCACCCAAAAGGTTTGAATCATACTTATCACTCACAAATTAAATTAAATCCAATCTTATTCTTGGTGTGACCTTAGGAGCATGAATAAATATTCGAAGTCCCCTTAATGCCTAGATTGTCCGTAAGCTGAGCACATTTCTCATCTGCTTTTCATTGGCCAGAATAGTGTTGGTTTCCACCATATATTTTCTTTTAAGAATTTTAAATCTATTGCCACAATTTAAAAATTGAGGCATTTTACATTAACATCCCAGGCTAGACTAGCCCACTGGTCTTATATTCATGAATAGTATAATTACCTCTTACTAATATGTCACTGTCTCCTTTAGACAGTCTTCCTATTTCTCTCTTTTTCCTCCTGACTGTGAAGCTGTGTATCAGGTTCTATTTATTGTCTAAAAGAAAACCATCTTCACTCATTTTTATTTCTTTCCTTGTCCTTGTAGGCTTTTGAGTTTGTTTCTATCCCATTAAACAATTTCAAAGAGCAATTTCATTTATTTTGTTAGTTTTGCGATAAGAAGTATTTTTTTGGTAATGTGATTGTTTCATCAAACTAAATATGCAGTTTTTTTTTATTTTATTTGGAAAAAGAGATTGCTATTTTTAGAGTGCTATTTGGATATTCTAACACTTTGATACAAGGGCATCAAATGGGAGATAAGATGACATAGTGTGTAAGGGGTGCAATAGTTAGCATTGACAGGTAAACTTCAGAATCTATCATTTCACCTTGAAAATGAAAATGTAGAGAAATGAATCCTGTAGAAATACATAGTTACATAAGAAGAAAATTAAGGTTCGGTCTATTCCACTTTGACTACTCGAAATTTGCTTTTAAATCTCTTCCTGAAAAGTTATTGAAATGTGAAGACTCAAAATTTATTCTGTCTGTGTAACATTCAGAGATGTGCTTTCAAATAGAAACAAGAGTCTTAGTCCAGATTTGGACACCATGCTATATAATCTCATTTAATCCTATGTTTAACTCTGTGATATAGACATTATTTTCATTTTAAAATTATGGATGCTATGGAGTCTCAGAAGTGAAGAGATTTGCTGAAGCTAACACAGCTAGGAACTGGGGACCTGAGATTCCAGAACAAATTTCTCTGCTTCTAAAGTTATGTCCTTAAAGTACTACTGGGTTCTTGTCATGCTTCCCTAATTAAAACTTTGGAATATTTTTCTTGTCTCTAAACTCGGAATTGTAAATGAGTTGTAAATGATAATGAAATATAATGTTGGTTTTGAGTGCTTTGTTGACTTCTTCGTGAATACAGAGAACCAATATGAATCTGCTACTTCATGTTCTTTTTTCAAATTGCTGACTTTGCCCCGAATATTGGAGCTCTGTCTCTCAATTACTACATACCGGCAAGATAATACATCCCAAGCTTAATTGAGGTTGTGTAGGTGCGGAGTCCAGCTTACTTGTGTGTGTTTCTCAGACTGCCTCATATGATTCAGTTCAGCTCAGATCAACATGTATTTATGACATACTTATTAAATTTAGACATGGGATAGATACCACTTATGTGACTAGCCCCTGCTGCCATGTGACCTTAAGCTAGTGGAAATAATGGTACACACTGCATAGAGATGTCATGTGGGGAAAATATATTTAACCCTTGATATATCGTTGTTTCAAAATATTTATTAATTCAATGCCAGTTTCTTACTTACCTTTTTTTACTCTCAGTTAAATGGCTTGTTCTTATCACGTGTCCAAAATCACAATTTAAAAATAGAGAAAAATCAATAGCTTAATTCTACCTATTTTTAATTTTTTTGTCAAAGAGTGACTAGTCAGTTTCCTATTTGCGTAATTAACAAATACAAAGCCAGAGTGCTTAACTACCAGGATCTTTAAAATAGAGCAAATGAAAAGCAACAAACCAGTAACTGTAAAGATTTGTTTTTACCTAGAGTTAAAAGATGATAAGAATCATGCTAAGCTGACTAAAAACTGTGGCAGGTGGCTAAAACAAGTCCTTGGAGTGATTTTTTGTGGGATTTGTGATGTCTATTTCAAGTTAGCCAATCTCTTTATGGTAAAGGAGGCAATGTTTAGTGTCCCATCACACTGCATCGGGCAGATGTGTGCTCTTAGCCACAAGCAGCAGCAAGCTTTGCAAACTGTTTCTGGAAGGACTTAAGGAAGATGTAAAAAACTTGTTTCTGGAAACTCTCAATGGATTTTGTAATTGACATTCCAGCCTTTCACATACACTTACGAGATGAAAAGTCCTTTGTTATCCCCTTCTCTGCCCCAACTCTGCTGCAGCCACCCGATTCACTTTTGAAAAGAAAAGTCTTGGTAAGAGTTCCTAGATTATCCACATTCTCCTCTTTTTTTTTTTTAATTTATGTTTTGCAGGACAAATGATACCGGCTTTCTTTCATTCAAAGACCACTTGCCTGTCACTCAGATAGTTATCACTGATACTAACAGATCAAACTCAGAAGCTGCTTGGAGAATTGGTCCATTGCGTTGCTATGGTGACCGTGAGTACTAATCGAAAGAAGCTTTCTCCCTGCATTACATAAGCACAAGGTGTTTTTATTTCCTTATCCCTTTTCCATGCAGTTTCCCCTAGGCTTGAAAATTATCCACCTGTCCAGCTTTTCTATACCCTATTCCAAAACAATGAACCTTGCTTAAAGATTTTCTCATTTGCAGGACACTTCTGGAATGCAGTCTCATTTTATACAGAAGCCTCTTACCTCCACTTTCCTACCTTCCATGCAGAATTCAGTGCTGATATTTCCTTCTTTTTTAAAACCATGGCTTTATCTGGAGTTTTCCTAGAAAACCTTGGCATTACAGACTTCATCCGACTTGAAATAAGCTGTAAGTTCCCTCGTTTATAAATTTAATGGAATTGGTCAACAGAATAAACTTCAGTTTTATCTTTGCCATCAAGTACATATTAGTACTACCAAATTAATCTCACTGGGCATCTGTAAAATTAGCAATGCCAATTCCTGGTTCCTTCTAATGCTTTCTGTTTTATTATTACCTATCAGTATTTAATCACTCATTTTATCTTCAAAATAGTGCATTCCCCAAATGTCCATGGATACCTATGGCAGTGTCCTTTATCTGATCTATGGGTATTTCTTACCTGTAACTTTAAGCTTCCATACCATAGAACTTGTTCATTACAATTTCTGTGGAAAGTTGTAAGTGTTCTTATGCATTCTATTCGTATTTGAGATCTACTTTTTTGTTGTCATTTTGCTTTTAAAGTAATTTCCTGACTTATTTTCCACAACTAGAAGTATGTGACTACCAAATCAGAATTCCCATTGTTTCTCTACCACTTCACCATAAACTTTGGTTTATCTAGTGCATTTGATGCCAAGACACGAATCACTTTTTAACATCCTATCTTCTATATACAAGTTATATTCAGTAATAATCATAAAGTTAAGTGAAAAACAGTAGAAATTCAGATGGTGATAAAATGTTCTATTGTTGAACTTTTATAGAAGTCATACCAATAAAAATATTCTTATACAAAAAATATAATGTAACAGATAAAATCTTTTAATTACATGTATTTACTTTTTATAAAAAAAGGAAAAAATACCTACATATTAGTATGTTCCAGTAACAATAATATTAAAATGTCTATTCCTTAGACTTAACTTCTACAAATTTGTGAATGACATCATCAGAATTAATTTTCTTTGCATATTAATATTTAAAAGAGTATAATCAGATTTGCCTACTTATCTTCTTTCATATTGATCAAAAAGTACTTTTTATAAATTTTAAATTTAATTTTTTTATATTAAGCTATAGATATATAAATTTTAAGAAAAGTTCTAAACATAAGGATAAGTTTGGTACATTTTCATAAAAATTTTGTTTTACAATAAATTGCAGAAATTGCAATACTCTCCATGCATATTTTTCTTAATTCTAACAACTTTCAAATATTTCTCCAATCAAAAATAATCTACTAAAATATTTTTTTTACCAGAAAATTTATTACAGATTGCTATTCTATTTGGTAAAACCTCACAAAGTTTCTGAGGATTTAAAATCCCTTAAGCTCTCTTTGGGTAAAATTTGTGCCTACCACCTCTGTGGTACTATGCATTCGAGCGTTTCAGTGGATTTGTGGTAAACAACAATAGCACAGTAATTATAAAAATGAAAAATCAGAACTTGAGTTCTTACTCTTAAAAACAGATGCATATATTTGAGTTTGTATGTTCAGGAGCCAACAGTTTATAAGCAGTCCTTTGGAGTAACTTCCTTCTTTAATATAATATTTACTAAGTGGCAAGTAATGAAAAGTGCTATTTGAAGCTTAAATGTACATTATTAAAAATTAATATTAATATCAGCATTTCTTAGAACTTAGACCAACAAAAGATTATGTTTTTTGGTAGAGGACTGTTTTATCACTTACATTTAGAATTAATGGTACATGGCAATAATGAAAAACAGATCTACTTTTAATTGTTTCTGCTTGTTTTCCAATTCTCTGTATTCAAAGTACCCTTTATTTCTTATATGAAAGGTGGACTGTTTCCACTGTCTTGCCCTTTTTATACCTATGACCATAAAAACTCCTACTTGTCATTACGTGTCTCATTTATCTGTGTCTAAATCGGTTTTCTATAGTTTGATACAACTGACCATATTACAATAATTATGTAACTGCATCATATACCCTTGAAGGCATAAATAATGTAATTCTGTAATTACTAACAGAAACTTGGAAATTTAAGAATTCCATAGAAAGAGAGACAAAACTCTGGTAAAAAAGAGATACCTACAGTGTTTGTATGCTTCTCCTGCAAATCACCAAGCAGCTAAGTGTTTCTTTTGCAATGATAGCACAATACATACAAGGAAAGAGATCTCTTTAATTGGTAGTTTTAACCTTTTAGACCAACAATTTAGACTGTTAATGGGAGGAAACTCTGTGGCTTCGGTGTGAAATAAGATCTCTCATACCTAACTAGGCCCAGATCTGAAAACATGGAGTTGAGTGCCAACCATTTCATAATATAAATATAATAATGTCAATGTAACTTTAATAAAAATTAGGCCCCAAGGCCTTTTGATTCATTAAAACAGCAGCAAATGTCATGGCATATTATCACAAAGTAATGAGTGATGATTTGGTATTAATTACATGTTAATGTCCAATTTATTTGTACTTCCTGTTACTATATTTTATCTTTTGAATTATACAAAAATGTTCTAAATGCAGGTGGTATTATATTTGATGAAAATTTAAAATCCATCAAAATGAATTTATAAACAATCTGACAATTAGGTACTGTTTTTATTCCCACTTTACAAATGAGAAAACTGAGATGTAGCAAAATAGGAAACTTGCCTTAGGTCATGGTGGCTCCAGAGTCCACATACTCAAATCTTCATTTGAAGGCCTCTACCTTATTGCCTTTCCTTTAGGTCAGGGCTCACAATCACCAGAATGCAAAAACAATTCAAGCTCTCAGATATTATAAATTCTGCAGATTGAGGGCTTCTTATACCGAGTGTAGCTTTCTGTTAGGATTTAACTGAGGAGGAAGTGGTATAAGGTGGTGTTTGACCTTTGATAATTCAGATCTGGCAGTTAATGACTTTGTCAAATAAATATCCATGTCCTGTTTTGGGACTAAAGGAGAAGGGGCTATCACAGGGTACTGAGAACTAAGGGAAGATGGCATATGAAGTTTCCAATTACTGAAAGAGGACAGTCTTCTTCTTAACCTCATTTTACAATTAAAA